GCATTTTGATGTACCAAAGTTTGTTCGGAGTCCCGGATGTGATCATGGACATGACGAGGAGTCTCGAAATGGTCGAGACATAAAGATTGATATATTGGAAGCCTATGTTTGGATATCGGAAGTGTTCCGGGTGAAATCGGGATTTTACCGGAGTACCGGGAGGTTACCGGAACCCCCGGGAGGTACATGGGCCTTAATGGGCCTTAGTGGAAGAAGAGGAGAGGCAGCCAGGGCTGGGCCGCGCGCCCCTCCCCCCTAGTCCGAATAGGACAAGGAGAGAGGGGGCCGGCGCCCTCTTCCTTCTCTCTCTCTCTTTTCCCACCTCGCGAGTCCTATTCCAACTAGGATTGGGGGAGAAGTCCTACTCCCAGAGGGAGTAGGACTCCTCCTGGCGCGCCATATGTGGCCGGACGGCCTCCCCCTCTTGGTCCTTTATATACAGAGGCAGGGGCACCCCAGAGAGACAGAAGTTGATCCACGTGATCTTATTCTTAGCCGTGTGCGGCGCCCCCTGCCACCATAGTCCTCGATAACATTGTAGCGGTGCTTAGGCGAAGCCCTGCGACTGTAGTACATCAAGATCGTCACCACGCCATCGTGCTGACGGAACTCTTCCCCGACACTTTGCTGGATCGGAGTCCGGGGATCGTCATCAAGCTGAACGTGTGCTAAAACTCGGAGGTGCCATAGTTTCGGTGCTTGATCGGTCGGGCCGTGAAGACGTACGACTACATCAACCAAACGCTTCCGTTGTCGATCTACAAAGGGTACGTAGATCACACTCTCCCCTCATTGCTATGCATCACCATGATCTTGCGTGTGCGTAGGAATTTTTTTGAAATTACTACGTTCCCCAACATGGGCAAGCCTAGGTACTTCTCGGCAAGAGTTTCTCTGTATATCTGCAAGTTACTCCTGACCCTTGCCTTCGCCGATGCCCTTGTGTTTGGGCTGAAAAAAACCGAGCTCTTGGCTTTGTTTATACATTGTCCCGACCCCAAGTGATAGGCTTGAAGGATTTCATTCAACCTTTGTGCACTCCTTGAATCTGCCTTCATAAAAACTAAATAGTCATCCGCAAATAAGAGGTGCAAAATCCAAGGGGCTCTCAACCCAGGCCGTATCCCTCTATCGATCCATCCAACATCATAGTTTTTCAACAAACATGAGAGTCCTTCCCCACATAGAAGAAACAAATACGGGGAAACGGGATCACCTTGCCGGATACCTTTGGATGGGCGAAAAGAGGGCAACAATTCTCCATTCATCTTCACTTGAAAAGTATCAGAGTTTACACATCTCATTAATAGAGACACCCACTCCTCCGAGAAACCCAGCTGCAGCATGATTCCTTGGAGATACGGCCACTCCACGCGATCGTACGCCTTCATCATATCCAACTTCACCGCGCACCACCCTTGCTTAGTTCTCTTCCTCTTCATTGCATGGATGCATTCAAAAGCTGTGATGGCGTTGTCCGTAATCAACCGCCCTAGAACAAAGGCGCTTTGCTCCTCCGCGATGATCTCATCTAGGATCTCCCTCAACCTGTTAGCCAGCACCTTGGAACAGATTTTGTAAATGACATTACAGAGGGAGATTGGTCTATACTGTGTAATATTCCTTGGGTTCTTGACCTTTGGTATAAGCACTATTACAGTTTTATTAATAGCTTCCGGCATGTGCCTGCCGTTTAAAAAATTTAAAACTGAGCGGGTTACATCCTCCTTTATAAGTGACCAGTGATGCTGATAGAAACCCGCATGAAATCCATCCGCTCCCGGCGCCTTCGCCGGTGCCATTGCGAATAGTGCTTTCTCTACTTCATCGGCACAAAAGGGTCTATCCAGCCGGCCATTCATCTCATCCGTCACCATACGTGGTACATGGTGCAACACTTCGTCCATGACCACCTCATCTTGAGTTGTGTATAGCTGTGTATAAAAACTTTGTACCTCAGCTCTCACCTCATCCCTACTATCCACAATCGTTCCATCTTGTTTCTCGAGCACCAGGATTTTATTTTGATGCTTCCTCCTTGATGCTTGAGCATGGAAAAATCCAGTATTCTGGTCGCCGGCCTTAAGCCAGTCAGCTCTCGACCGTGCTCTCGCCATAATTTCCTCCTTTAACAAAAGACCATTCAGTTGCCTTGCTAACTCCTTCTCCCTTCTGGATGAACCACGGTATAGCGAGTTCGCCTTCTCCCTCTCAAACTCCTTTCTCACTTTCTTCAGTTTTTGTTTTATGTCCCCAAACTTCTTTTGTTTCCAATCGGTGAGTTGGCCCTGCATGTTATTTAAAGAGGAGTTGAGGTCCTCAAGTGTAAGAGCTCCCTTCTCCCATGCAGCCACCACCGTGGGCTCATATGACTCCTCCCGTCTCCATGCTTCCTCATAAACAAAACGGCGAGGTCCGATGTCCTCCCACTCCACCAGCTTCTTGATCTTAATGACTAGCATGCAATGATCCGACTGTGGGGATGGAACGTGCCTCACTCCCGTGTCTCCATGCATCTGGATGAAGCCCGGGTCGGCTAGGTATCTGTCCAAGCGCACCTTTACATTCGCCACGCCTTCTTGACGGTTATCCCACGTGTACGGGATTCCGTTAAACCCCATGTCCTGAAACTTGCATTCATCAATGGTCTCCCGAAAACCTTGCATTTGCCATTCTGCTCTTTCATTGGCCCCGAAATATTCCATGTTGTCTGTGATCTCATTAAAGTCCCCGCCACACAACCAAGGGACGTCACTTTGACACCGTAACCACTTTAAAAGTGTCCAGCTCTCACTTCTTTCACTCCTCTTTGCTTTGGCATAAAAGCCTGTAAAACGCCACTCCTTCTGGTCGCTGCCCACATTCCTTACCATAGCATCTATATGCTGGTTTGACAAATTGTTGAGCTTAACATCCACCTCTCTAGACCAGAAAAGGGCAAGTCCTCCGCTCAGCCCGTTACTGCTGACAGTGATACATCCTTCGAAACCAAGTCTTGCTTTCATATCTGCTACCTTATTTCCCTCAATCTTCGTCTCCGATAAGAATACTAAGGTGGGCGCTTCAACCCTCACCAAATGGTGAAGTTCACGAACTGTCTCCGGGTTCCCAAGCCCGCGACAGTTCCACGTTATGCAATTCATTTCTCCAGGCGGGGCTGTGCATCAGCCACCGCCTTCTCGCTAGTAGTTCCTCCTTCGACGAGCTTTTTCTTTTTTGAATCCCTGCTATCTTCCTTGGATGTACTCGGCTCATCGCCTTCCATGGCCCTCTTCTTATTCCAAGTGTCCTGATCCAGGATCATAAGCTGGTTTGATGTGTTGGTGCGGCCTTCAGGCCCCATATCCACTTGACGGTACACTCTCTCACGGCCTCTACCTCTACCTCTGTCATAGCCTCTTCCAGGCCCAGTGCGGCCACCCTCGCCGCCCCGGGCATTAAACTGATACACTGCGTTCCTGACCATTCCTTGCTTGTTTTTCAGTGGTGAAGTAACCTCCTCTCCCTTCTCTACTTCCTCTTCTTCAGCATCCCACTCCTCTTCTCTCCTGGCGCCCTGCCTTCCCCCGTTGCTGCTCATTGGGGGTGCATTCGCCCAGTTCTTGCGAGGTCCAACCCACCTAAGTTTCTCCCCGTACGGTAGGCACCCCTCCTCATCCCTTTCCCCTGGATCCGGGCAAAAAGCGTCAGCGTGTCCAAGCCGGCCACACGAGAAGCAGAAATACGTCAGTCCCTCATACTGAATATCATACAGTACAGATTCTTTTGTCCTAGCCGATTCTAGCTGCACCCACCTCATAAGGGGTTCCTGTACCCTTATCCATATTCGTGCTCTAAGGCACTCACCAAAGGCAAAACCCTTTGAGTCCACATCCAACTTGATTACTTCTCCCAACATCCCTGCTATGCGCTCAGGCCATGGCGGGTATTGGAGATTAAAGGGCAGATTGATTACCCTCGCCCAAATCTGCAGCTTCTCAAACTTCCAATCAGATGGCCGGGCCCTGAAATCAAATAGTTCCAAGATTACTGCGTGTTTCCCCACCATCCACGGCCCGCCTCCATAGATGTGATCTCGATCCCGTTGATTCTCCAGGTTTGCAACAAAGGTGTTCTCCCCTACCGGGTTAAAGCTCAATCCCCTCGGGTTACCCCAGGCCGGTCGGAGGGCATATGCGATAGAGTTTACATGGATGAACTTACGGTGCAGTACCCGGCCCACCAGCGCCACTGGAGGTGCCTCTCCTTCCACCTCCTGATCATCTACGACCAACTTCTTGTTTTCCTTGTCTGTCAGCTTCATCTTCTCCATCATATGCTCCACCTTCTCCCTCGACTTCCTCGATTCCTCTGACGCCATGTCGCCGCCCCACAAAACCCTAGATGCCACCTCTCCCTTCGTGTTCCAAAGGTGGGTAGGGGTACCAGGACCCCCCCCCCCCTTGATCACCCTGAGAGCAGCCGCAGGGGAAGCGCCGATCAGGGCTTGGGTATAGCATGGAGATCGTCCAGGATGGGTGCGCGCGCGTGGGAGATCGCGATCGCCGCCGCCGTCGCCTGTCCTGCCACTAAACCCTAGAAAACGGTTCGGGCTTTAGTATGGTGTGAGAAGTCCGAACTTAGGTCTGGAGGTTCGAGCACCAGGATTGAACCTTGATGGGCTGGGGATATCACAGTCCCTTTAACCATACAACCACATGTTGGTTCGCATGTTAAAAGAAAAGTTGTCATTTCTCTTGTACGCTGTCACGCAATATTTTTTTCTGTTATTTGCTTTGGGCCGAGAGAGGCCCTAATCTGCACAAACCCTGCATGCGGCTCAAAAAAAAAAGGCCGAAACTGTCTTGGGCCCTTGATTAAGAGCACAAGCGCGGCGCAGTCGTCTCAGGTGGACTCGTCGTCTCCTCTGAGCTCGAGACCGACCGAAACGCACCGGCGTCGGAGCGGCTAGGCGAAGGCGGGGCCCAACGCCGGCGAGCGGCGGCAGCGTGCTCGCCGCCATGGACGAGCAGGAGTTCCGGCGCATGCTCGACCTCTTCCCCGTCGTCCGATCCCGCGACTACTGCGTAATCCATCTCATCCCCGCTCCTCTAATTCTCTCCTGTTTCCTGAGCATGGGGAATTTTTCGTGTGTTTGCGGCGCGGTAGTGGTGGCCCTCGCCCTTGCGGGTCTTGAATCGGAGGCTAGAGAAACCGCGATTTTGCCGGGGTAGGGGATTTTGGTGCGGGTGGCTGTTGATTGGACTTATCCTAGGTTTGTGCGCTTGGAATATGGCTCTGGATTTGGGTAACCTTAGAGTTGGTTCTGGCGACCCGTTAGATCACGCGAAGCCTATGGTATCACTACGCTGATCTTGGAAGTGTTGGTCTTGTAGCAACCCATGGAGTTCACGAGATGTAAATCTTCCATCGACAAGGCGAACATCAGATCCACAAGTAATTATCAGATCGATATTTCTTCTGTAGTAATAAAGCAAATAAAAGAAGGAAAAATCCCGTTAAAAGTCTTCAATTGAAATAAGAATATAAAGGCCTTGTTAACAATGAGAGCGTTTGTGAGCGCGATAAAAGTGTGTATGTATTTGTGTCCTAGCAAGACATAAATGGCAACTCTTTGTCTGGTCTATTGTCTGTATTTCTGAATTTCCCAGATTCCATCAGTTACTCCTACTTCTAGCCCCTCAAAGCATGTGATCCATGTGATTATGTCTCCTGTCCTGTGTCATTTAAGTAAACATGCTAATATTAGCATCTGGCTAATATTAGTTAAGAATGTTAGTACAGCATCGTCAAGGTGCCGCATCTCTTTCAAATAGTGTGTTTGCCATGGATATTTGATGTTAGTCGAGTTATAGCCCTGTGGTTAAGAGACGGTTAAATGCGCTCACGTATATAAACAGAAAGTGTATATAAATAGAGACGTGGGTCGAACGGTAACAAGGATTGCAGTAGTAAGTAACTTGACATGTAATCCTAAACATTCATGGTCAATGCTTCATTGCAGAAGTAACCGAAGGAAACATGGTAAGTGCTTGTTATGTTGTTACAAGACCTTGTGGTTATGAACTGATGCCAACTTTTCTTGCCAAAATGTAGAAGGATGAAGTGGAATCATCAAGCGAAGGCACCACACAGCAAACACGAGCTCAGGTATGGTTGATGTGATCAGCTGTGTGCTGCCTGATTATACTTGAAAATAATTCCGACGGGGCTATTTCTTGCAGGAGATAAAAGGAACCAAAAAGAATGCTGCAGAAGGTATATGGATCAGCATTTTTATGTTTCTCTGATAAATTTTTACCAGAGTTACATCTCATAACTATTCCGGAACCACATCATCTGCCATTATCATTGTAGCGGCCTTTCACTTTGTTCATGTGAATCACATGGACAGTTATTCATTACCCCACACCCCTATCCCTAATTAGCCTTAGATCTATAACATGCATCCCCGAACCCTTGGGAATTTGTTCGTGACCACACATCCCTAATCTCTAATTGGTCCTAGGTCTTAAGCCTGTGCCCTGTTGCTGTTGGCTTTCGTCTTTAGTCTCAATTCTTCCTCTCACTAGTCTACGTCATGGAATTTTGTTCCTTCTTAGGGTTAATAACTCTTAATCTTATATCAATTTCTTATTTTCTTCTATCTTTAAATCTTTTAGAACAAGACTTCTCACATAGGGCTGTTTGCACTTTTGACCACATTTTCGCCCCATATGGCACATGTGGGATTCAAAGCTGGGTGGGCTGACTGCTGCCTGCAGAAACCAGCTAACTGAGGAACATCTCGGTCCTATCAACTTCTACACTTAATAGTGAACTCATCTGATTTGTTATGAATTGTGTTCTCGAGCAACATAATGTTCATTAAGGCTTTCAAACATTAAGAACTAGAACACCCCGCACGTTGCTGTGGGATTTTCTGATAAATTTTATAAAAATTTGGCTGATACATAAAGCAAAGTGAAACGGTGCACTCCAAGGCATGGCAACGGTGTATTCAACCACGAGAAATCCTGAATGTATGAGATAAATTGCAAACTATTTAAAGAATTTTATAAACAGTTCTGAGGTGTAAAGCTAAGCTATATTGTGCATCATTCCTGAAAATAAATATTGCAAATGTCTCACAACATGGATCAAGATTTTGTGTCAGAAAACAGAATGAACTCTGATGTTAAACCTAGATTCAGAAATTGGAAGGTATAAACAAATTGCCTGTGTAAGCATGGCAGACCACCTTAGGTAAATTAGTGCGCGCGCACACACATGCAAAAACGATAGTAAATGTGTAGTTCATTGTGTTTCGCTGCATGCATCCCTCTCAGTTGTCTTCACAGGCTGCACTTGAGATGAAACTTCGTTGGCAATGCAGAATCTGTTAATCAACACTGACATAAGATTTCCATAAAACACTAAGCAAAAGGAAAGAACACCCGCCAAAATAAAATTAATAATAAACAAATTTTGCAAACGAAAACTGTACAGAGTTTCTGACTTCATGAGACGAGCATAACCGGATTAGAGAGAAAGATGAGCTATGCTCCGATGCCTACCTGGTCGCATGCTTCTGTTGTAAACATCAGATTGAATCCCAAAAGTTAATAGGAGAAGAGGATGGGAGTTCTGCACCTAGAAGATGGGGATGTCGTTTGTGATCCTGTGTGGAGCTGGAGCCACGAGGACATAATGCCGATTGGTTACTAATTGCCACAGACTAAAAAGGAAACCGAAGAGGCAGAAGGGGAAACAAACTAATTAGAATCGAGCAACTGTCTTAGGAATTGGACGCGGGGATTTGATTGATAATACAACCAAACGGCTCAGTTTTAACAGGTGACGTGGAGGTCTGTGTACAAAATGCATGTATACACGACGAGAATTGCTGACGTGGCTAGATAATGATGTGGAGGGGCTGCATGTTGAGAAAATTGGTTGTAGTGGGGATCAACTTCTTAAGAATGTAAGATTCAATTTCATTTCCGATAAAATCAAAACTAAGTTTATTTACTTCTAGAAAAACTATGTTTAATTAAGGTTGCATGCACAAACCTGTATTTTCCTAAACTGCCAGCCAAACTATGTTACGAATACGCAGTCCTTTATACCATATCAAATTAGTTGGTTTTTCCCTAGTTTTCAAGCTTATGCACACTTCGGCACGTGGTCATAGAGGTTAACCGAGATTTAGGGAAGCCAGGGCAAGGAATAGCAGAGAGTGTGCTTGACCAAAATTTTGGCTTGCCAAATGTTTGGTGGGGCAACCCTGGGCTCAAACCAAACAAGGAATAACAGAGGGTGTGCTTCTCAACCAACAAGAAATAGCCGAAAATAGACTCAGTTATCTCTGCTAACATGCCATAACACACCAGTATATTAATGATGAATTCTGTGGCATGTTCGACAGCTCTATTCCTGCGGAAATTGAAGATGGCTGCTGAGAAAAAGGTAACCTTTCTTTTGCTTTTATATCAGGAAGCTAGCAACTCAGCAGAAAGTTGAAATATTTTAAAAGCATTACGTGGCATTTTGTGTCATTTATATTTATTAACAGATTGTTCGTATACATGAAGTATATACTTACGGATGCAAACAAAGATATCATAAACATGTCACTCTCTGGCTGGGATGGTAGATGATAATCTGGCAAAATGCTTGTGAGCTTGGTTAGCATGCTTGGCCTTTGTTGGATATATTTTAGTTTACCTTTTCAATTGAGTAATAGCCCTACAGCAGCTATCTAGAATATATAAAATACAGTTATCGTTTTCCCGCAGATCTGGATGGAATAAATATTCGGACAAGGGGGTGTAATTGGCTGATTCGGTTACTCTAGTGCTTACTTTCTGATTGGTTACTAAATAATGTTATTATTCGCTGTCTCAGGTTGGAGCAACAAAGGCAGAACTATTCTGCAAGACATTCGAAGAAGCTCACGAGAAACTTGTATTGACTTCTCTTTTCCCGGAACCTACTTCGTGATAACGTCTCTACCATCTTTCTTCCTGGCGGTCTTATGGGATTGTTCTGTTTGACCAGGTTTACAAAGAACTGGATCTGGATGCTGCTCAAAGGTTCCTGAATGCCTACAAGAGCTGATGATGAGCTGTTGCTAGATGCCTAGAAGATTTGGTTTTCATTCATCAGAAACTGCTGAAGATGTGATGATGTTAAGATTTCTGATATTTCCTTTGTGGTTCCCATCTTCTGCAAAACCATGTAGACAGCCCTGGTCAACCAGCTACATTATTCAGATGTACTGTGTTATCCTTAACATAGACCACATGTATTTTTCTTCCAGCTGCGATCTGTTCGCCCTGTTCTTCAGAGATAGAACTAGCATGTTTCTTCTGTTTCCAATGACAAAAAGTCTGAATCGGCAAAAAAAAGAAAATACCGCAGATGGTACAATTTTAACTAGGGATTTTTTTGGCGGGAAACTAGGGATTTTTTCAAATTGCCGCAACGTTGAACCCGATGCCACCATATACGGATGAACAACATCTTGGAACAAAATATCCCTGTTCAAGAATTCATCCGATGATTAACCCGTTAACTTGCCGATTCATCCCTACTTGTAGGGTCACCGAGTAGCAGATAAACTTTATCGTCCAATTAATTGATTAAATTGCTGATTAATTTGCCGATTAGCTTATTAATCCCCTACTCGCCAGCCAACCGAGCAGCTACCAGTTAGCGATTTCTTCAACAATGCAAAATATTTTTACCGAACTTGCCACGCTGCAATGGTACTTCCAAAAAAATATTATACTGTTTCTTCCAGTTCACTGATATTTTTCACAAAAGTGCGAATACATTATCTGGAGTATATCCAGAACCCCAGAAACACAGTATGCCATGCACATTGGCGACTGATCGATCCTTGCTCACACTCTCTTTGTGGTATTTTAAATTAGGGATAAGTATATTTTTTGTCTCTCAATTTCTTCGAAAATATAGAAATGGTCCCTCAACTCCAAAACCAGCAAACTGTAGTCCCTCAATTTTTAAAACCGGATAAGTTTAGTCCCTCATACCACTTTGGTTGATTTTTTGCTGACGTGGACTGGTTGTTGTTTGGAACTGTGGGACCAGCCTGTTAGTGGTCGAAATTTGAACAGTATGTGGTGTAAAAAAATAAAAGACACGCAAAAAATATAGCTACTTCATTGTGCACATGAGTACAGAAAAAAAACATATGTGCAGAGGACTGAAACTGAAAAAAATAAATCACTTTTAAATGAGTTAATATCATTGTACAGCGAACATGCTTAATATATGCAAAACTACAAAAGATTTTATACTTGTCTGTGTAATACTACATAGTATCCGTGGTATGGTGGTTACCTACTGATCTGGCCTACTTCCGATATTAAGTTCGAAACATGTGGCATACATTTTATTTTAAGCTATTATTCTTTCTTCCTGAGGCTGACATGTGGGACCCTGCACATTTGTACACGCTGATGTCACGGCCCAGCCTATAGGATGTATCTAGTTTTAGTCAAAACCACTCCACGTCAGAAAAAAACAGTCAAAGTGGTATGAGGAACTAAACTTATCCGGTTTGAATAGTTAAGAGACCAAATTTTGATGGTTTTCTAGTTGAGGGACCATTTCTATACTTTTGAAAGAGTTAAGGGACGAAAAATATACTTCTCCCTTTAAATTAGCATGATTTCATTAAAAAAATAGCATGATGACGAGAACAAAAACCGAACCGATTATATATTTCGTGTACAAATATATCAAGCATCATCAGCACGATCCGACGGCCAGCTTTGCTCGGAGGTCCTTCCTCAGAATCTTGCCCGACGGCGCCTTGGGGATGGTGCTCACGAAGAAGACCTTCTGCAGCCTCTTGTAGAACACCACCTGCTTCGCCACGTACTGCTTGATCTCGTCCTCGGTCATGTCGGCGCTGTCCGACGACGGCACCACGAACGCCACAGGGACCTCGCCGCTGGCGTCATCCTTCATCCTGATCAAGGTAGCCGGCCGTTGTTAAGAAACCATAACTCTTACAGCTCAATGAGGACCCATGCATTAATATGAATTCAAGTTCGTGCCGGAGTAAGAAGTTGGTGCTTACGGGACGACGGCGGCGTCGGCGATGCCGGGGTGGGCGATGAGCATGGCCTCGAGCTCCGCGGGCGCCACCTGGAACCCCTTGTACTTGATGAGCTCCTTGAGCCGGTCCACGATGAAGATCTCGTCGTCGGCGTCCACGAACCCGACGTCGCCGGTGTGCAGCCACCCTTCCTTGTCCACGGTCTCCGCCGTCGCCTCCGGGTTGTCGAGGTACCCTTTCATGATCTGCCTCCCCCTGATGCAGATCTCCCCGGGCTGGTTGCGCCCGAGGCACACCCCGGTCTCCGGGTCGACGATCTTGAGCTCCGCGTTCCTCACCACCGTGCCGCAGGCGCCGGACTTCACCGGCGACGGCTCCTTGGCGAACGCCATGCACATCGACAGCACCGGACCTGCCTCCGTCATCCCATAGCCCTGCTCAAACGAAATGACAAACAGATAAGTTTAACTGGCATGGTCGTCGTCTAGACTAGTCATGGTCAAAGCACGAGGAAGGAAAGGTTAGGTATGTATACCTGTCCGAGCACGGCATTGGGGAGCTTGGCGTGGATGATGTCCTGCAGCTCCTTGCCCATGGGCGCGGCACCGGAGATGACCATGCGCACGGAGGAGAGGTCGTGGCGGTCCATGGCGTCGCCCTTGGCCATCTCGACGACGATGGGCGGCACGAGCGGCGCGATGGTGATGCCGTGGCGCTCCACCAGCTGCATCATCTTGACCGTGTCGAAGCGCTTCATGACGACGAGGGCGGCGCCGGCGCGCAGCCCGCAGAGCAGGATGGAGTGCAGCGAGTAGACGTGGAACATGGGGAGCACGCAGAGCACCACGTCGTCCTCCCGGAGGTGGAGGTTGGGGTTGTCGCCGTCGACGAGCTGCGCCACGCTGGTGACCAGCCCGCGGTGCGACAGCATGACGCCCTTGGGGAGCCCCGTGGTGCCCGACGAGTAGGGCAGCGCCACCACGTCGCTGGCCACGTCGATGGGCGCCTCGTGCAGAGCCGAGTCGTCGGCGGCCGCGAGATCGGAGAACGAGGCGCAGCCCTCGGCGCCGTCGCCCGTGGCGACGATGACCACTCCCGCGAGGCCCCGCACCTTGGCGACGAACGCCGGCTCGGTGACCACGAGGGTGGCGCGCGACGCCGCGGCCTGCTTGGCGATCTCGGGCGGGGTGTGGAGCGGGTTCGCCGTGGTGGTGGCGGCGCCGAGGCGGGACGCGGCGAGGAAGGCCAGCGCGAACTCGACGCAGTTGGGGAGGAGCAGCATCACAGTGCTGCCATTGCGGACGCCGAGGGAATACAGCCCCGCCGCCACGCGCCGGGAGAGGCGGTGCACGTCGCCGACCGTGAGCGTCTCGCCCGTGGCGCCGTCGATGAGGCACGCGCGGTCGCGGCGCTCCGCCAGGCGCTCGAAGACGTAGTCGTGGAGCGGGAGGTGGTCCGGGATGACGATGTCCGGCAGCGTCGACCGGAAGACGACCTGCTGCTGCTGCTGCTCCGGCAACGAGCCCATTTCTCGCCGCGTCTGTCTGTACTGGATCGTTTACGGCTGGATTGGTTGGTGGAGCTGTGGGATCAGTGGAACAGTGGGGGCACTGGTTGCGAGATCGACCGAGTTGTCCTGAGGAGTGGAAGGAGCTCGCGGGGTGGTACTTATAGATAGCGAAGGGAGGCAGTGGCGTTTGGTGGGGAGCTCGCCGGAGCGGTTGTTGTCCGGGAGAGGATGACTGGACCTGGTCCAGCTTCGTGGAAGAAAGCTCGGTGCGAATTTCTAAACTCTAGCCGAGCAGCATAGGACATGCATTTCACACGTGCGAAGGAACCACACCTCCGACGTCGGCACATGAATAAACTTGATAGATATAAAATGTTTTTCTCCTTGGGTGGGATGTATATAAGGTATTCCCTTCATTTTTATTTACTGCGCGGACTAGCTTTGTCTAGAGTCAAACTTTGTACATTTTAATCAAGTTTGTAGAAAAATTAGTTGCAACAAAAAGTTTGTAGAAGAAAACATTTTTTTACAAGTTTGTTATTGTAAATGTTTGTACTATATTGTTTATAAACTTAGTCGAATTTTATAAAGTTTGACTTCAGTAGAATCTAATATGTCGACTAAATAAAAGCGGAGTGAGTACTACTCCTCCGTAAAAAAATGTAAGAGCGTTTAGATCACTAGTAATGATTTAAATGTTCTTATATTTTTTTACGATGAAAGTAATAATATAAGATATAAATAAAAACTTGATTAATGTCACCATCTAGCTTTATCCCTATTTTCCGGGCATGTGCAGAGAAAGAGTAAGGTATTAGTTCTTAAATTCTACGACGACATTTAGAGTCAATGCATGTGCCATACATTGTCTCTTAAGTCGTTTTGCTTTGGAAAAATTACAGCTACAAAAACATCATCAGACGAACTCACTAAAGGCCGGAGCTTCGAGTCTTAGAACATCTCTAGCCGTTTAGCCTCCCAAGGTGCCAAAAAAGAGCGGTCTGGGGGCGAATCGGCGCTAGATTGGTTCTTGGGGGCGATCTAGTTCCCAGCCACGCTCCCAGACGCCGCCCCCCAGCCGCGGCAAATTCAAACATAGTCTCATTCCCGCTCATAAAATAGACGCCACAAATCCGGCGATCAAGCGGCCACAAGTTCGACGTACAAAAAGCAGAAAGGACACACGTCCGCATCAGACGGCGAGGTCGGCCTCCGGCGTCGGCGGAGTCGGCGTGCGCGGGCTTGGCAGGGTCTCTGCGCTGGGCGGCGTCGGCATGGCTTCTGTGCTGCGGGTAGTCTCGGCGGCATCATTAGTCGGGCTTGGCGGCGGCGGCGACGTGGGTGTCGGCGTGGGCGTCGTCGTCAATGGAAGCTGGTTCAGGATGATGCCACGCTCCGCCAAGTACCACGCCTTGACCGCCTCGTCGTTACTCTGGAGCATGTCCGCCCTGAAGGAAATATACCCTAGAGACAATAATAAAGTTATTATTTATTTCCTTATATCATGGTAAATGTTTATTATTCATGCTAGAATTGTATTAACCGAAAACATAATACATGTGTGAATACATAGACAAACAGAGTGTCACTAGTATGCCTCTACTTGGCTAGCTCGTTGATCAAAGACGGTTGTGTTTCCTAACCATAGACATGAGTTGTCATTTGATTAACGGGATCACATCATTAGGAGAATGATGTGATTGACTTGACCCATTTTGTTAGCATAGCACTTGATCGTTTAGTTTGTTGCTATTGCTTTCTTCATGACTTATACATGTTCCTATGACTATGAGATTATGCAACTCCCGTTTACCGGAGGAACACTTTGTGTGCTACCAAACGTCACAACGTAACTGGATCATTATAAAGGTGCTCTACAGGTGTCCTCGAAGGTACTTGTTGGGTTGGCGTATTTTGAAATTAGAATTTGTCACTCCGATTGTCGGAGAGGTATCTCTGGCCCTCTCGGTAATGCACATCACTTAAGCCTTGCAAGCATTGCAACTAATGAGTTAGTTGCGGGATGATGTATTACAGAACGAGTAAAGAGACTTGCCGGTAACGAGATTGAACTAGGTATTGAGATACCGATGATCGAATCTCGGGCAAGTAACATATCGATGACAAAGGGAACAACGTATGTTGTTATGCGGTCTGACCGATAAAGATCTTCGTAGAATATGTGGGAGCCAATATGAGCATCCAGGTTCCGCTATTGGTTATTGACCGGAGACGTGTCTCGGTCATGTCTACATTGTTCTCGAACCCATAGGGTCCGCACGCTTAAGGTTTCGATGACAGTTATATTATGAGTTTATGAGTTTTGATGTACCGAAGGAGTTCAGAGTCCCGGATGAGATCGGGAACATGACGAGGAGTCTCAAAATGGTCGAGACGTAAAGATCGATATATTGGACGACTATATTCGGACATCGGAAAGGTTTCGAGTGATTCGGGTATTTTTCAGAGTACCAGAGAGTTACGGGAATTCGACGGGGAGTATATGGGCCTTATTGGGCCATACGGGAATAGAGGAGAGAGGCCAAAAGGAAGGAGGCGCGCGCCCCCCCTCTGGTCCAAATTGGACAAGGGGTGCAGCCCACTTTTCCTTGTTCCTCTCCCCCTCTTTCCTTCTCTCCTACTCCAACAAGGGAAGGAGGAGTCCTACTCCCGGTGGGAGTAGGACTCCCCCTTGGCGCGCCCTCCTCCTAGGCCGGCCACCCCCTTACTCCTTTATATACGGGGGCAGGGGGCACCCCATAGACACAAAAATTGATTATTGATCTCTTAGCCGTGTGCGGTGCCCCCCTCCACCATAATCCTCGATAATATTGTAGTAGTGCTTAGGTGAAGCCCTGCGACGGTAGAATATCAAGATCGTCACCACGCCGTAGTGCTGACGGAACTCTTCCCCGACATTCTACTGGATTGGAATTCGGGGATCATCATCGAGCTGAACGTGTGCTAGAACTCGGAGGTGTCGTAGTTTCGGTGCTTGATCGGTCGGACCGTGAAGACGTACGACTACATCAACCGCGTTGTCATAACGCTTCCGCTTTCGGTCTACGAGGGTACGTGGACAACACTCTCCCCTCTCGTTGCTATGCATCACCATGATCTTGCGTGTGCGTAGGAAATTTTTTGAAATTACTACGTTCCCCAACAGTGGCATCTGAGCCTAGGTTTTATGTGTTGATGTTATATGCACGAGTAGAACACAAGTGAGTTGTGGGCGATATAAGTTATACTGCTTACCAGCATGTCATACTTTGGTTCGGCGTTATTGTTGGACGAAGCGGCCCGGACCGACATTACGCGTACGCTTACGCGAGACCGGTTCTCCCGACGTGCTTTCCACATAGGTGGCTTGCGGGTGACAGTTTCTCCAACTTTAGTTGTATCGAGTGTGGCTACGCCCGGTCCTTGCGAAGGTTAAAACAACACCAACTTGACAAACTATCGTTGTGGTTTTGATGCGTAGGTAAGATTGGTTCTTGCTTAAGCCCGTAGCAGCCACGTAAAACTTGCAACAACAAAGTAGAGGACGTCTAACTTGTTTTTGCAGGGCATGTTGTGATGTGATATGGTCAAGACATGATGCTAAATTTTATTGTATGAGATGATCATGTTTTGTAACCGAGTTATCGGCAACTGGCAGGAGCCATATGGTTGTCGCTTTATTGTATGCAATGCAATCGCGCTGTAATGCTTTACTTTATCACTAAGCGGTAGCGATAGTCATGGAAGCACAAGCTCGGCGAGACGACAACGATGCTACTATGGTGATCAAGGTGTCGCGCCGGTGACGATGGTGATCATGACGGTGCTTCGGAGATGGAGATCACAAGCACAAGATGATGATGGGCATATCATATCACTTATATTGATTGCATGTGATGTTTATCTTTTATGCATCTTATCTTGCTTTGATTGACGGTAGCATTATAAGATGATCTCTCACTAAATTTCAAGATAAAAGTGTTCTCCCTGAGTATGCACCGTTGCCAAAGTTCGTCGTGCCCAGACACCACGTGATGATCGGGTGTGATAAGCTCTACGTCCATCTACAACGGGTGCAAGCCAGTTTTGCACACGCAGAATACTCAGGTTAAACTTGACGAGCCTAGCATATGCAGATATGGCCTCGGAACACTAAGACCGAAAGGTGTCGAGCGTGAATCATATAGTAGATATGATCAACATATTGATGTTCACCATTGAAAGCTACTCCATTTCACGTGATGATCAGTTATGGTTTAGTTGATTTGGATTACGTGATCACTTAGAAGATTAGAGGGATGTCTTTCTAAGTGGGAGTTCTTAAGTAATATGATTAATTGAACTTAAATTTATCATGAACTTAGTCCTGGTAGTATTAGCATATCTATGTTGTAGATCAATAGCTCGCGTTTATCTCCTCTGTTTTATTTTTGATATGTTCCTAGAGAAAACTAAGTTGAAAGGTGTTAGTAGCAATGACGCGGATTGGATCCGTGATCTGAGGTTTATCCTCATTGCTGCACAGAACAATTATGTCCTTGATGCACCGCTAGGTGACAAACCTATTGCAGGAGCAGATGCAGATGTTATGAACGTTTGGCTAGCTCAATATGATGACTAATTGATAGTTTAGTGCACAATGATTAAATGGCTTAGAATCGAGACTTCAAAGATGTTTTGAACGTCATGGACCATATGAGATGTTCCAGGAGTTGAAGTTAATATTTCAAGCAAATACCCGAGTTGAGAGATATGAAGTCTCCGACAAGTTCTATAGCTAAAAGATGGAGGAGAATAGCTCAAGCAGTGAGCATGTGCTCAAATTGTCTGGATACTACAATCGCTTGAATCAAGTGGGAGTTAATCTTCCAGATAAAATAGTGATTGACAGAATTCTCTAGTCACCATCACCAAGTTAGTAGAACTTTGTGATGAACTATAATATGCAAGGGATAACAGAAATGATTCCCAAGCTCTTTGTGATGCTGAAAAATCGACGAAGGTAGAAATCAAGAAAA